TTTTGGGGTTTTTTTTTTTTCTCTTTCTTATAGGCCATGTCCTTGCGGCCGTAGCCTTGCCTTCATGGACGCGCGCAAACAAAGCGCACGGCGAGAGGTCCTTGCCGGCGCCTGCCTCCTGGCATGCCTGACTGGGCCTGGGCCTGGGCCTGGGCCTCGGCTTGAGCCCGAGTGCTGCTTTGCATTTAATTACGCTTAAAAATTAATTAATTTCTTTTTTGTGGCTGGCGCTACGTGAAGTGACTTGAGACATAATCAAGCTGCCACAACCCCCCCCCTCCCACTACCCAGCCGCGCCTTAAAGTAGGCAACAGTGCGGCCACTTTTATCTGCCAGCTTTTATCCTTGTAAACTGATGGAGTCTGGCGGGGATTGGGCAGGGGGTGTGGGCCTGATGGGCAGCGCACTTGTGTCTTAAATAATTCAACAAGCGCGGTTTTTTGTAGCCAACAAAAAAAACAACAACAACAAACAACACCTGCACTGCGCACCTTTAAATGCCAAGGATAAGCGCTTGGGCTTGGTTAATGCGGATTTCTTTGGTTTCTTTTGGCTTTATACAATAATAACAAAATTTTAAATAGCCAAATTCATTAAATAGAAATAATTAAAGTAATAATAAGCAACAATAAGTAGATAAGTTTCTTGCTAAGCTGAGCTAATTACATTAAGCTGAAGACTAAATTACAATATTATTTATAAACATGATATTCAAAGTGTAAAGATCAAAACTTGATTACAATTCTATCTATAAACATAATAAGAAATATTAAAAAACGAATAAGTAGGGATATCTTCGGCAGAAGATTTAAAACCCTTGTAAACATTTCCCTTTTTCAGATTTGTGAGAATAATGAAGCTCGAAAATGCTGAGTTTGATGCAAATATCTTTGAGAACAGAATAGATCCTACTATTCGACCTATCTATCCTATACAAGCTATATGATATAGTGGTCCGATGTTAATAGAATTTTGCATATATGTAGCAAATATAGTGAAACTTATAAGTTGGGAAAGATATCTTGATGAACAATAAAGTTGTTCAGCTCAATAATAAAGTAGTCTAAGTCGACCAGTTTGACATATGACCTATTTAAAGTTTCAAGAAAATAGCTTTAAAACTGAAAAAGTATTTCGCATAGATACTGATCTATAATATTTATACTTTATGGGGTCGGAGATGTCTCCTTCTATGCGATTCACATTTTAATACAAAACTATAATAGCCTGTCAAAAAAAATTGAAAACGAAAGTTAACAATAAAAAACAAAATTGTTTTTTATTGGCAAGCAATCGAGGTGATCAAAGTTCAGGGCACAAACCCCCAAAGAGACGTGCGGGCAGTTCGAGTATAAATATATACATAAATTAATATAAAAAAGAATATATATAAAAATATATATTCGGTTTAAGCTTGGATAAGGCTTGCATTTCAGCATTATACTTCAACACACGTACAACGCCGGGTAATTTCTTACAGTATTTTCATATACAAATGGTTATAATTATAAATAAACTTAATTACTTGCCAAATATTTATACAAATGCATCCGCATAAGAGATTAAATTGCGTTCCTCACCTGCAATATAAATAATAAAATATAATATAGATTAGTTTGTATTTTTATGGCATATATATATATATCTTATAATTGTGTACGTAAGCTAATTATTTCATGTTCATTTTCAAAAATTGAAGTGCTTTTGTCTAGCATTTTATTTAACGGAAATTCCATTTATTTGTGGTTATTTGTGGTAAACGTTTTGGTATTCAAGTGTATTTTTGTAACAATTGGAAACACAAGCAAGAAATGAACTCAAGACCACGCGCAATGTTGTTATTGTAATTTAAATTGTTGTTGTTGTTGTTGGACATTTTGAGTAGCTGACACAAAACAGAAACGTTGAAAGCGCAACAAAAGCTACAAAAGAAAAGAAAAGAAAAGAAAAGGCGAACAGCTTGTAGAATATTTGCCAAAATGTGCATTTTGGCAAAAACAAATTTTAATAACTCAGTGCGGGGCGCTGTCAAAAGCTAAACCAGCAGCAGCAGCAACAACAACAACAATAACAATGACAACAACTGCAAGTAACAACAACAAACAACGTAAAGCCGCAGCAGAGCAGCAGCAGCAGCAGCTACAACAAAAATAGTTGAGTCAATTTGTGTATTTGAAGGTCGCTGAAGGTGGTTGTTGTTGCTGCAGTTACTCTGCCTGCTGTTGTTGTTGCTTCCTCTGCCTCTGCTGCCGCTGCTGCTGTTACAGTTACTTTGAGTGCACTAGAAAGCAGCGGAAGAAGCATCCAAACAAATCTGAAAGAGCAGGATGGAGAGAGACAGAGCGAGATAGTGTGCCCAGCAGTTTAGATAGGGTTAAGCAAAATGGTTGGGCAGCCGCTGGAAGCGTCGGCAGGGGGGGGGGGGGGGGGTCTGTGCACTGTGCAGCTCACTTATTGGATTTTCCCCTACATTTGCACCCCGCGCGCTTAAGCATAAAAATCACTGGGTAGAATGAAATTTTGTTTACGGCACTTTATTGTGTTGTTGCTCTTGTTCTTATTTGAATTCGTTTATTTTACAGTTTATCAAGCAATTGCAGCAGCGAAATTTTGTTGAATATTTTAAACATGCACACATACAAGTGTATTTGCATTAAAATAATGCATTACAGCTGAACAAATGAATAATTTACACACAAAATGCTAAATGCATTTAAATATCTTTACGTATGCGTTTTGCGTATTACGTATACGCAATGTAACACATTTTTACAACTCAATTGACATATGCATTATGCATTTATAACAGTAAATTAAATTAATTATTTAAATAATATAATGTATAAAGCCATATACATTAATTGGAACTAATTATCGAAATGACAACGTTTATCTTACTTATATGGCACGTTTTTTGTATTTTAATCAAATTGTATGTATTTATTTATCATTTAAATCCAATTATTAAAACACTCAGTTGTGTCTACACGCTTTTTATACGATATAACTCGATAAGTAATATCTGTTTTAATCGCTTAAATTATTTGAAATAAATTTAAAATGTTTTTATTTAATGCAGCATTCTTTTCAGTTCTGTTATTTTTGTGCGCTAGCGCGAGCTCCCCACTTAAAAACATAAATGCCGTTTAAAAAAGTTTAACTTCATAATGGATCCAAACACACGCACACACATAAGCACACTCCAACACACAAAGAAACAAGCACACGCACACTTTAACCCACACAAAAAGCTTCTCATACGCACTTTAAATGCCGGCGGCTTCAGCTCTGACGTCACAGAAATTAAAAGCGTTCCATACATAATGAAAAATATTAAAATAAAAGAAGATCAACTTTGAGGCTGTTGCGGGCCAGGTCAGGCATAAAAAAAACGCACACGGACTCACACAAAAGGCAATAAAAATAAAACATTTCGCTTGTATCTCATTCACTTTGATATGAACTCTAATATCATTGAAATTATAATTATGTGTGTTTTATACGCGACCATAAAAGAGAGAGAGAGAGGGAAAGAGAGACAGAGAAAGCTGCCACACAGGTTAAGCTTACATATGTGCATATATATATTTAATATATATACACACAGCCGAATCGCTTGGGGCCAAAGCTGTTTGCTTGGGCGCCTGTTACGCCCACAACATTTTCATTGGCGCTGCAAAAACAACAAAAAAACGGTAGCTTAATAAAATGTTGCCATTGACCGTTGCTGTGTGTTGACCGTAAGGTAGATGCGTGGCCCCCACCTGTTACCCCTCTCCCCCCGTGAACATCAATCGTCTGCGTGCCAATTTGTTATATATGCTGCGTTTACGTGTTGATTGCTTATATATGCAAATCGATGTTTATATCTAGGCATCTGCACCTTTTTCGTATCCAAATGCTGATCGATCCAGCTAAATTTATGCCTCTCTGTTGGTTGCCTAAAACTTCTGGCTATTTTCCTGCTGCACACACGAGCCGACCAATGTGTACACACGGCAATCTATTTGGGTTTATTTATTTGATTAAATCGCCAATATCTAACAAAAATCAATTCATTTATAAAGCAAAGCAATCAAAGAATTTATCCATGTGCAATTCCTTTCCTTAAATTTAAACTTCTTTTCAAAGCTTTTCAAACAACAAAAACTATTTGTTTCGCAGCAGATAGTTCAACCTGTTGTGGCTGGAAGAAGAAGAGGAGGGGGGGGTGAAAAAAAAAGCAGATGCTATCTTCAAAATGGGGAATTGCATATTTCAATCTCAGCTGAGGCCACTCGATTCAATTAATTTCAGCTGGCAAACAATGAAGGCCGCTTGCCTAATTGCCAGCATGGCCAAATGTAATCAAGTCCGAGTCGAGACAAAAGAGAGGAGAAAAAGAGCTAGGCTGAGGGGGGGTAGGAGGTGTAGGAGGGGGGGGGGGCAGCATTGGCAGCTAAAACAAAAACATCAGCAATGGATTTACATTTACTTGGCCCAACACAACTAAACACTAAATAACAACAACACACACACACACACAGACACAAGCAAACACACGCACACACACACAAACACATGCATGCATCAATTATATGGCCACTAATTTGTCTACATTGGGTAGCTAAATAATTGCAGACTGATAGGGGGGGTTCGTTGAGGGGAAAGCAGCAATCAAAATCCGACAGACAACACACACACACACACACATACAAATATTTGCATTGCGCTGCAGGCAAGGGCTCGTGCCGAGGTGGGGGGAGGGGGTGCGGGCTGAGGGCGTCAACGTTGTTTAATCGAATTATGCAAAGGCAACGACAACATCTGCACACACACACACAGACAGGCAGCTGCACATGACGGGATTAACATATTCGATAAATGTATCTGTATCTGCATCTATAAATGTATCTGCGACTGCGGCTCTGGCTGTGGCTGTAGCTGCTGATGCTTTTAATTAAAATGTGCATATGAAATCGACAGCAGCAGGCGGCAGACATCAGGGCAGGCCTTACAAATTTAACACACACACACACACACAAATTGAATCTCTAAGTAAAATTTCCTGAAACACACAGTTAAAAAATAAAATACAGAATGTCGCTGTTTATGGCCGGTTTGATCCTGGCCCTCGTCTTGCTGCTGCACAGCGAACATCCTGTCGATGCGGATGCCTATCATACCATATTCAAACATGACGGTAAGCCCAGCATTTAGTCTAACCAATTAATTGCTCCCACTACCTGGCCACAGATTATCCCAATAAGTGCTTTCTCAAATTGCCCAAGGGCGGTAAATTGCTGATCAATTCGGATCAGTACGCACGTTATCCTGGCAAGTGCGCTGAAATTTATTGTGGCCGCAACAGCTGGGCCTTGGTCTATACGTAAGCTCCATGCATTTCTTTTTGTATATCTAACAGCTAATTTCCCATTCTTCGCGCCCAGCTGTGAGCCGAAGAATCCGCCCCACGGCTGCGAATATGGCGAACATGAGAATTTCGATGCTCCCTTCCCCAAATGCTGTCCACGCCGTGTTAAATGCAATACTGTCAAGTAAAATCTATATTATTTGGCTTAGTTTAAGTTTTTTTTTTCTCGTCAAATTTTGCGTTGCTACTTTAAATCAATAAAAAGTAGAAAAATTATAAAAAAATTAAATTGATTAGCTTTAACTTAACATGGGATTTGAACTGGTAACCTTTAATTGCACATTGGATTTGATCCGTTAACCACGAGATTTAATTCGGTAATCTTTAACATAACATGGGACTTGAACCTGTAATCTATAACTTAACGTGAAATTTGAACTGGTTTTTTTAAGTTGACGGGATTTGAACCGGTAACCTTTAACTGAGCATTTGATTTGAACCGTTAACCGCGAGATTAAAGCCGGTAACCCTTAACGTAAATGGGATTTGAACAGCTAATCCTTAACTTAACATGGAATTGGAACTGGTAACCTTTAACTTAACGTGGGATTTGAACCGTTAATCTTCTCACTCGATTGATTCACTTAAAATGAATATGCCCCAACAAAACTTTAATCACGTGGTGAATGAAGCGAGCTGAAAACATCAGAATTTCAATTTTTTCTTGCCTTTGTAATGCATTTTTTATGGTAAACACATAAATTTTTTTCGAAGAACCGCTCGTTCAATTAACAGAAAACGCTGTCAATATGCCACAGAGGCAGCTAGTCAGTTTTTTATAAAAGAAAATATGTTCAAGTAGCTGTCAAAAACATTTTGCCAATTTACAACGATCCCATTTTTGAAATACATTTTCAGGCATAAACAATAAAAGGGTCTCTATCAATCAATCTAGGGAAAAGCCACAGCATTAACCTACCAACTAACCCAACTTTATCTTAAAAAACTCAATATAACAATACTGAAAGTTCCTTGTAGTGCAAAATACGCATGTCTAACCTTATTTCACTTAACTAACAACCTAACCCTTTTATAGTATTAAATGAAGTTTCTTCCAATGCAACCTACAAGTGCCTAACCTAACCTCACTTAACCAATGTAATCGAACATAACCCAACTTTACCCAACCTAACCCAATCTTTTCTTAACAATAACCTCACTAATGTCAACTAACCAACAACCTAACCTGTACATATTATTAAATGAAGTTTCTTCCAATGCAACCTACAAGTACCTAACCTAACCTCACTTTACCAATGAAATCGAACCTAACCCAACTTTACATAACCTTGCTTTTATCGCACATAACCTTAAATTTAACGTAATATTATTAAAAAAAAGAATGCAACGTGAATAAACTAACCTCTCTTGAACAACTGCATCAAACCTAAACCAACTTAACATAACCTAAATTTACTCCTACCTAACCTCAAATTAAAAATGATAATGCAAAATTAGATCTTCGTAACTTAGTATCTCTTTGAAAAGCTGTCAAAGTATCTGCCCAAATTACTCGTGAATCATTTATAAAAATTAAAATTAATTAACGAAAAACATGAAATTCCCCTTGATTATTTTATTTAAATTAATTGCATTTTTTACACTCGGACTTCACGCCGCCGAATGGGTGGGCATGTATTATAATGCAAGTATGTAAATGGGAACTGTTTCTCAAAATATATATGATAATACCCATTGAGTGTAGAATATCCGGGCAAGTGCGTAATTGCATCGGACCTGATACTCAACGAGGGCGTGAGCATTAAGGATCCCACGCACGAATGCCGTCAGATTGTGTGCGGCTCCAATGGCTCGACGATATTTCAAAGGTGCGTACTTAACAGATACAATGTAATGTATCTAATGGCTAAATGTATATAATGCCATTAACAGCTGTGGTATTATCAGCGGCCTCCCGGCCACTTGTCGCTTTGGCTCCTTTATCAACATGGATCTGCCCTATCCGCATTGCTGTGAGCGTACAATCATCTGTTTGTGAGAGACTCAATCCAGAAACTAAACCAAAGCAATCTATGACATACACTTTGGAAATTGATAACTATATATGCCAATGTATATACATATATAGGCAGATATATAGAGCTTATGTGTGAACACATGATGTTTGTTTTCAAAGCTGCCCTCATTCTTTTCGTTTTCGAGTACCTAACTCAGACTCAAGCCCTGAACGCACTCAATTACTATGGAGACAGCGGTGAGTATGAAATCTATTTAAGATTTGATTTACTTTGTACTTTTTTATGCTGTGCACTTATCAAAAATGGGGAAGGTTGAAGGTTGTACAGCCAGAAGGAGGCATTAGCCGAGTACGGCCTTCCAGCTATCTATGAGAGCTAGGCCCTCAAAATTTTTTAAGTTTTCGTATAACTCATCTTAAAGATTATATCAAGTTATTATCAATTCAATACGTTTAATCTCACTATCTATAAGGATAAGATATAGATTCTCAGCCTAGGTTTATTGCGGAAATTTTCGTATAGTACATCAAGATTATTTCAAATAATCAATAACTCAATACGTTTATCCAAGGATAAGGATATATATCTAGATATATATATAAGGATTATATATATTGATTATCAGAATCGGTTAATGGCGCAAGGTAAAAGTTATTATGGTATGTGTGCTAGCTTCTGATATGACAGAATCTGATTTTAGGTATATACACAAATTTAAATAACATTTAAACCCGATCGGACTATAAGCACCGACGTTATTGAAGTATGCATCTAAAATGGTGCGAGACTGAGGAAAGAAAAAGCACAGACGGCGGCTAGTTTTTGATTATTTCTGTGTTTTTCCGCATATATTGTATATATTTGAATCATCTTATGATTACAAACATACTAAAGAGCAGCTGATAACAGGGTAGCTCCTATTGTATTATAATATATTTTATTATATATATATATAAATATATATATATATATAATATATATAATATAAATATATATATATACTTATATAATATTATATACAAATTATATTATTTTATTTTATCTTTCCATCTATTCGTCTCTAATCCTTTTTCTAGCATACCCTGGACGTTGTGTTGTGGATATGAGCAAATCCATAGTGCTGCTGAATTTGGGGGAAGCTGTTAAACTGGATTCGCTGCCCTGCACCCAGATCTTCTGCATGGGCGATGGCTGGGGCATGCTTCAAACGTATGTTAAACTGATACAATAATTATAATATAATAGATATCTGATAGATTTTATATGCTCTTCGACCAGTTGCAATTATGTTCCCCCACCGACTGATTGTCGTTACGCAGCTTTCAAGCACTGGGATGCGGGATACCCCAAATGCTGCAAGCGTCATATTATTTGTGATTGAAATTAGAAATTTGAAATGATTCGTTTAACTAATTAACTCATTTTTGGTCTTTTCTGTTAAATGATTGTACGCAAACAAAATTAAATAAGTGCCATCCATTAGCATTTATCGTAAAAAATAAACAATTTAGATCTCAAAAGTACACAAAATTTGACGAAAAATTACATTCGTAATTATTTCTTAAATTTATTCAGATGGGAAACAAATAAAACACGGGCCAAGAGTTCACATTTGGCAACAGCAGCTGTCGACTTATCAGCACTCGCTGCCTATCAGCGAAGTGGAACAAAACAGCACTTAATTAGTTAAATATATTATTTAAATTTAAATAAACACTCAACAAATTTTATAAACTATTAAACATAGGCGTAGGTATATATAGAATTTATGACGAAAATAATTATATTAAAAAAAAAAAATAATTAATTTAAAAAAAATAAATAAATAAATAAATGAATAAAGAATAAAATAAATAAATAATTAATTAAGTAATTATTTTAACTTAAGCGAGACCGCCGAAGTTTTTGTATGAGAATAGTGAACAGAATATAAGATCCATATAATCTATATAAGATCCTACTTTTCCAGTTATCTTTTCTATAGCAGCTATGTAATATACTGGCCCGATTGTAATAAATATAGTTCACATATGTAGGAAGCATAATAACTCGTAATTTCAGAGTTTTGAGTAAGATAACATGATGAACATTAGAGTTGTTCATACATGTAACTACTTTTGCACAGATCCTTCCTATGGCAGCTATATGATATAGTTGTTCGATCCGGCCTGTTGAGACATCTGAACTGCCTTTCAAGACGATAGCTTTATAGCTGAAAGACTAGACTCGCAAAGAAATAGGCACAGATAGACGGACGGACATGGTTATGTTAACTCGGCTGTGGATCAAGAATATATATGCTTTATGGAATCGAAAATGTCTGCTTCTATGCGTACTACATTTCATGACAAAATTATAATATATATAGATCAAAATATAATGAATTTTAATAAAAAACAAAAATATACCTAAACATTAAAATAGAATGGGGAACCTCTTGGAACTCAAAGAAAATATTTAAAATATTAAATTAATATCAAGATGAAAATCGTAGACTTCTTCTGTGAGTATTCTTTATTTTAATTTAGTAATAACATTAATAAAAAATATTAATTCGAATAAATAAATAATATATAATTATTTCCAAATCGCCTAAGAATTTTCTTATATTGTTTACATTTTAATTAATTTATGTAATTGTATAATTTTACAATATTTCTATAATTAATTAATTTATATTGTTATTTATTTAAATTTGTTATTGGCATTTTTGAATATTAATTTAATATACTTGTCATCTTACATGTTAAGGTAGAGTTTAATGTATTGCTAATCTTATCTTTTTCCACATTTATATACACATTACTAATATTCTAGTTAAAGGGGAAAGGGGAAATTCCAACTCTATCCACATATTTGCACACAACTAGCATTTGTTAACAATTTTATATATATTGCAGCCACTATGCACACTGACGCAATCGGAAACCTGTTTGACCCCTGCCCTTGTCCGGTTGGAAGCACCGCCTCATAAAGTCGGCCAGCTGCTATTTCGTATTCTCTCTGAATCAGTCCGATTTTCGAGTGCGCCGCGTTAAGATGAATCTATTTGTGAACGGAATTTTGTTGCTGCTGCTGCTGGCGGCGATGTTGCTGCCACCCACGGAGGCAGCTGTTGCACGTGGCATATTCAAGGATCCGGCGCATCCCGGCAAGTGCTTCATCAAGCCCAATCTCATACTGAATCCGGGCGAGCGTGCCAAATATCCCGATATGGAATGTGCGCGCATTATTTGTGCAGAGCACAGCATGGCGGAAATACACACGTGAGTCTCAATTGCAATTAACTAAACTAGCTTAATTTAAATAACAATTTTGCATTTAACAGCTGCGGCGTTGAGGCCCCGCCCCCTGGCTGCAAGATGGGCGCAGCCAAATTCCCCGAGGCCGATTATCCCAAGTGCTGCGAACGCCAAATCGTTTGTGTCAAGTAAAGTGAATCACTCGCAAAAGCTATTGAATAAATATTTTCAATATTTTATGCGCTTGTTTTTCTAGCGACTGCGCTGACTGCGTTAAATACACAGCGAGCAGCTAAAAATAAAACGCCCACCAAAAAAATAAAACAAAACAAAACAAAACAAAACTTTAGCCGCCTTTTCGCAGTCATCTAGCGATTAAATTTACATTGCTTCATAAACAACATCAACAAACCACATTATAGACAAAGTCTAAAGGCCAAACATCTTCGAACTTAGCTTCATGTTGCTCTCTAAACTGAACATGGAGGACATACGAATTCACAGGAATACATAACAATGAAACAACAACAAACATCATAGATAAACATCACATATAAACACAACTTCATGATTCATGATGCACCTTAAGTGACCATGGAGGACATAGTACGAATTACCAAGGGCACATTTAAATGAAACAACAAACATTACAGATAAACATCTCATATATACACAAGTTCACGCATCAAAGCAGTTTTTAAGGAACGTTTTCAACATAAAGTGACCATGGAGGACATACGAATTTCTTAAGGGCTCATTACAATGAAACAACAACAAACATCCTACATATATAAACATCATACACAACTTCATAGTTCCAAGCAATTTTTAAGGAACGTTTTCTACATAAAGTGACCATGGAGGACAACCAAAATAACGCAGGTAACATTTGTCAATAAGTAGAAATATTCAAAATAAAAGTATAAAAAACTCTTCAGTCATTTGCTTGATTCAAATTAGATTAGAAACGACATTTAGTTAGGTCAAGCTCCTAAAGTGACCATGGAGGACTTGAAAGCGCCGAAGTCTAAGTCTTAAATATTTTTAATTTCAAGTTGAGAAAAAGAGCTTTGCGTATAGAAAGCATTTAATGTGACCATGGAGGAGACTTTAAGTGCTGCAGACATTCAAAAGTGCTGCAAATTACGAGCACATCCACAAATAGAATAGAAAAAAATGTTCTTACATAAAACTTTCCGATAATTAAAGCCCATAAGCTGAACCAGGAGGACATAAAAAAAAAGGTGCTAAGAAAAAAAGTCAAATATAGAAACTCAAAAAATGCTGATTTCTTCCGTTTGACTACAAATTAATTTGCAAATAAGCACACACACACACACACACAGAAGGGGCAGCACTTGAACTGACCATGGAGGACATGAAAATGCCAGCCAAGCACATCGTAAATTGACTTTATCAAGAAGTTAGGCTACGGCCAACCTTAGCTGGAATGTCATACTTATAGCTGCCTACTTTATGGCTCCAAAGTGCTCCCAGTCAGTTTATTATGGGCTATTTTCTTGGTTTATGAGCTCCAAGCGCTGTGCTCCGGCGACTCTATTAATTTTGGCCTGGCGTGGTCAACTGACGTTCTGTTTATTATTTTTTACGAGCTTGGCCCCTTGGCCAGGTTTTAGGCCAACTATTTTTGTAACATACTTTTGCCAAACGAATTTATTGAGCGTTTGTCGTTATGATGGAGCCGATTTTTGTGCCCCCCCCCCCCCCTTCCCTCCCTCTCTCCTCCTACCTCGCTTCGTTCTCAGGGGGAGCCCCAAAAGCCGTCAACAACAATAAGCGCAGAGCTGGGGCAGCAACTGCAAGCGGAAAGATAAGCGCAGCCGGGTCGAAACTGAAACTGAAACCGCACACACAACACTAATTGCCAGCTGTGCGTGTGTGTGTGTAGGTGTAGGTGTGTGTGGGTGTGCGTCGGTGTGTGTGGGTGTGTAGTGGCGGGTGGTTTGGTGTTTTGGTGGTTCGTCGCTTGACCAAATTTAGCTCGGGCGCTGCGTTAAACGTTTCGCATGACCGTCACAGTTTTAGGCCATTTTTTTTTAACACTTCTAAAGGGTATTATACTTTTGTCGTGGAGTATGTAACACATAGAAGCAGACAGCCTAGGAACGAACGTGCAAAATAATCATGGCCTAATATGAACAACATTTTTGTTCTTCAACCTATCTTGGTAAGAATCAGTTTTAGCATGTTTCTTATATAAAGGCAAAATCTCAGTCGCAAAAGCCTACGATATCATAGGAAATCTCTATATGTCATATATATGATATAGTTTTAAAGAAAGAATCGATCAAAAATGGAGTTTTTGTCTGAAAATCCGTCTGTTTTGCTCTTGAAATTACGAGCTTCCCAATTAAACTCACTAATCGGCAAGAGTATTCAATATTCGGCGTGCCGTAGATAATCGCTTCTACAGCTACGATTTGACCTCATTTTGAACATTGTTTGACCTTTGCATTTATTTGCTATTCAATTTAAGCCCGCAAAGCAAAATAGATTTTCGCCTAGAAATATTCCAAACTAAATATAATTTATTTAACATATATATATAGCATAGATTCAACATGGAAATCCTCTTAGGCTACGTAGGCGTTATATTCAGAGTTGTGTAAATAATTTAAAGTTAAAATTTAAATTTAAAGCTCATTTCACATTGCAGCTAAAATGTATAAGAGTTTATAAGAAATTGATTTTTATATTGTTTTATTCAGCTTTTGATAATGTCATTTTACGAATTTTCAGCATGGTTGGCAACCCTATCAACATAAAGTGCCAACAATTTATTTAAATGTTGGCAACGCCACACGAAAAAGCGGAACACAAGTTAAATATTATCCTCATGTCAAATATTTATTAACTCCTTCGCTTGACAGGCAACAAAACTAACCAAAATATATTGTACTATAATAAAATAACGAACTGTATTTAAAATGTACTAAATGTAACTAACAAATAATGAATAAATAAATAAAAGTTTTGCAGAAGTATAAAAATAAAATGTTTTTTATTACATGCTCAATACAAATTAATTTAAACAACTTGTTAAACTAGCTGTTAGCTTTAACAGGAGCTTAAGAAAGTAGAAGTAAAATAAAAATCAAATATTTATTTTATTAACTATTATTAATTTATCATTTCAACTAATTTTGTTTGACTATCGTTTTTTTTTATTGCTCATCTCTAGCACGGTATTAGCCACACACACACACACACACACGGCAGAAACGTTGTAACTTAAGCCACAAATTCAAATAGATTTGGTGACCGTGTCGAATGCATTTAACTGAAACTAATTGAACCTGGTGTCGTTCCAGTTATGAGATTGTGTGTGTGTAGCGTGTGTGTTTGTAATTGTATTAAGTGTGCCCTTAACTAAATACATGTGTACCTGGCTAAAACATGTACAGGTAACCTACGTGGGCTTAAGTCAACAGACAAATAGAAACCACATCGTTAATTAGTAGCTATTTTGATTTCGAATGTTTGATTAGCCAATGGCAAAGACCTATGTCAATTGAGCTCGCATCTTAACAACAATATACATTTCGAAAATTAACTATAATTATAAAAGTAACAATTGTTAGCTGTTCCAGCATTCAAGTTATATTGTTAAGACAAACAAATGCTAATTTTTATCAAGCAGAAAAAATAATTATCTGGAAGTGGCGCAAATTTAATTAAAAGAAATTGTTGTAATAAATAAGAAAAGAGCTCTTGTCGGGAGTGCCTGACTAGGAGATACCCTGAGCCCAGCGCCCTTACAAACATTCTAATTTCTTAACATGCATACATATACAAAAGCACACATATATACACACACACATAAGGATGCACGCCGTATGACTGACCTTCTTCTTCCCTTAGCCCTATACTATGGCAAATGCTTCCTCAAATAACTTCGGTGTTTATGGTCCGATTTTTTTGAAATTTTCAGGGCTTACAAATGGCAGCGAATTGTTCGTACATCCCAAGGCTCAAGACTTTACGCTGCAATTCTTTCTTAATTGTTGGGAGATATTGGTGTATACTATGCGAATATACTACAAACACAATTTGGTATTTCAAGCTTAAGCTCTCAAGCTCGAGATATGCTTAAAAAGCGAGATTTGGATAATAACAAGAGAATACCAATCTGAATAATCACATACTTTACAGACTGTAGAAGAAGCACAAAAACTCACGTAACATTCAGAGCGATTATATTATATATTTTTCAGACAGAAACAAAAGAATTGCTTAGATTTCACTATCTCCCGTGGGACAGTGCACCGCATTGATGCAACACTTGGGATAATCAGCATCGGGATACTTTGCATCGCCCAATTTGCATGGGAGTGGCACTGCCTTAACACCACAGCTGCAGATATATAGAAACTATTTATAGTACAGATGGAAAAAACGGAAGACCCGAACTCTTACGTTGCGATAGTTGCTGCGCCGTCTCCGTTGCAAGTGAGGAGCTGGCAGTTGGGCAGGGTCTTAGTGTCGCCCTTACTCAATATGGTGTTGGCATCATAGACACACTTGCCCGGATGTGCTTTGAGATGCAAGAAATATTATATAGATATATTTAATTGAAAAATCGCGCTACACACCGTCGCTCTTGAAACTGCCCTGCGATACAGCCGCAAAGATCTCGGTGCTTAGCACGGTAGCCAGCACAAATAAAGTTAGAAATATACCAGCTTTCATCTTGACAATCGGAAAGCTTCTGACTGCCGTCTTTGCGTCAAGCGCAATTTATAGGCATATCTATGCATAACTTGTCTGTCGAGTGGCTCATCGTGAAACTTGTTTGATTTGATGAGTTCATAAGTTAAACTGTTTATGAATTGCCCACAACGCCCAATTGATTCGACTAAACTGAAAATTCTATTAACACTCATTTGCTTAAACAATTAGCAATGATTAGCATATATTGGTATTTGTTTGTAGCAAACACAACAAAATAATAAAAAAAGGCCCTATCTTAAATTAGCTTTAATTAGAGTTGGACGCGGGCCGCGCTTTGCTGCGTGCCACGAACGTGTTTATTTTTTAATATTATTTTGAAGTTGAATTTATTAATATTTTTTTAATTTTATTTCTAAGTGGAATTTATTGATAAATATAATATTACATATATTATTAATTTAATGATTTTCTTTATACAATATGTTTTTTTATTAAATAATTAATAATTTTTATGTATTTATTATTATATTTTTTTATTTGTTTATTATGTATTTTTATATTTTTTTTTATTTATTTATTACTGACTTTCTTATACATAAATTATAATTACTAACTATTTATTTTTATTCATTAATTATTAAGTTTCATTTATTTATTATTTATTTTATTTTATTATTTCAATTGTTCTTTGTTATTTATTTATTGTTTATTAATTTTTATTTAGTTTCATTTATTATTTTTTGATTTATTATTTATTTATTTTAATTTGTATTTATTTATTATTTTTTTTTATTTACTTTTATATATTAATTATGGGTTTAATTTACTAATAATATATTTTTAATTATTTATTGTTTATTGTTATTTATTTATTTTTGATGTGCTTTATTTATTTATTTATTTATCATGTTTATTTTTAGTTAACGCCAATATGGACTCAAATTCGCAGATAAATAGCTATAAAAATATTTCTAATATGCACTAAACATAATGCCCAATCATGCTCCGCACTTCGTAGGGTATATTTAGTGCATAGTCAGAATATATACTTTTTGGTTTGTTGCCCTCAAACCTCAATCATGAAAAGAGCGACTACAAAGTATCCAAAAACCCAAAAAAAAAAAGGAAAAGAAAAAAAACGTTACAGAAGAGAAAAATGTGAGCAAAGACCGCAGCAAGTTTTTTTTTTAGCATCCTCAGCATAAAAAGTGAATATTACCATTTTAGTGTGCCGCAAAAGTTTAAGCCTGCAAGTACGTGTGTGTGTGTGTGTGAATGAGTAAAAAACACACGCACATACACCCAGACACTCACTCACACACACACTCATGCAGACACACAACATTTATAAATTGGCAGCCAGGCAACTGCTTTTGGGTGACCTTTCGTGCCAGTCAGCGTATACATATATATGTATGTATATCTGTGTGTGTATATCTGTGTGTGTGTGCGTGCAAAAAGGTGAAGGTAATGCTGGTGGCTTGGTCAGAAGGCTGCCAGCTCGAGCACGAGTTGGTACACATAAACTGAGCCGAAACTTTGCCAAGGCACGCGCAAAAAGTAATCATAAAAAACAACCGAAAAAAAAATTGTTGAAAAAAAAAAGCAGAAATTCAAATTTAGACGCATAATACATATGTAAAAAGGTGCAAATGTAGCGCCCTAAAATATGCAGCAAAAATCGTGCTATTCGGCGTGAAATAAAAACTTTAACTTGCCCTATTCATTAATTTTTCACGAGTTATTTGTGCCAAAAAAATATATGTATATGTATAAAAAATACTCAAAATGGTCGCCACACTGTGTCGTAATTCACACACAAACACTAGCACACACACACACAAACACACATACACACACAGACGCATTGAAATCCTTGTCGCACTTTCTTTAGCATTTGCGCCCACGAGATGCTTCATTTCATGAACGAGAGCAGACCGCGTCGCCGAGAAGAGCTCGTTAAAATAAAAAATATATATAAAAAAAAGGCTACCTTCAAGAGAAACAAGCTTATATTTGGGCTAGTCCCTGACAAGGTTAACAGTAAGTTGCAATTCGATTTTCATTTTTGATCGATTACAACGCAATATTTTTTAGCTGTATATGAAAGTTATAAGGAATATAAAGCTATGATATTGCCAAGAACAAGGTTAAAAGTAAGCCGTCAATCGATTTTAATAAATAATCGATCATGTTATAAGAAGTTATAAGAAATATAAAGAAACTTATGATAATAAAGGACACCCGCTTACATTTGGGATAGTCCCTGGCAACGTAAATAAGTACTTAAGACTGTGATTCGATTTCAATATGTTATCGTTTTAAGTGCAATGCTGTCGGAGGCATTTAAATTGTTAATAATTTTACGATAAGAGTATTATGAATCTTAACGAGAAATAAAGGATATCTTTGGCACGCCGAAGATTTAATACCCTTGTAGTCATTTGCCTTACGGATTTACAGATATGTGTGATTAGAGAAGCTCGTAAATGAAAATAACTTGGACTCCTAAAAGAGCTACATGATATAGTGGTTCGATTCGGCTGATTCCAACATATGTAATGCCAGGAACAGAAAGACAATTCAAGACGATAGTTTTAAAACTGAGAGTCTAGTTTGGATTGAAAAAGACAGTCGGTTATGGCTATATCAACTCGGCTGTTGATGCTGATCTAGAACAACTTTATAAGGTCGGAGACGTCTCCTTCTATGCGTTACACATATCACGGCAAAATTATAATACCGTCTACAAGGGTATAAAAAACAACTACCTAACGATTTCATATACATTTTAACATATTTATGCTTAGTTTTAATAATCCGCGCATTTCGATAAGTTAATCTATTAATGCTCTATATATAAAAGATAAGTTATCGTTTCATTAAGTTATGATTTCATTAAGAAAGCAAAACAAGCTTATCCCCCTAGTTTCCGTTTCCGGTTTCAACCACGTAACGCAATAATCGATACGATTAAAAGCTGTTCTTAATTCCAGAATACAAGCTTATCGGCCACAACGGGTTTTTCCTTTCATAAATTTTCTTATTTTCTCCCGACCAACGACTTGACAACACTTCCGCATAGTTAATTATGCTTAAGTAAAGTTTTTTTACAATTTAAGCCTGTCAATTTCTTGGGTAATTTCTGAATCGTTGTACGCATTTCATCAGTTGCTCATATCTGGCAAAAGTTGTATTTTCCTTGGCATTGTCCTTCTCTTTGTTTTCTTTGGAGTTTTTCCGCAGCATACACAAAAGTAGTGGCAACAGTTTTTCCTTTTTAAATTGAGTTTTTCCTGCTTTTCTTATGCTTCCAAATGTGTTCGCTTGTGTGTGCGTGCGTTTGTATGTGTGCACGTGTGTGTGTGTAAGTTTTATTGTCTTTGTTTCGTTCGTCGCATAAATATGTAAAGTAAATTACCAGAACCGGGCAGCACATTTTTGGGCCCTGTATTCATTTGCTTTAAAAATAAATATTTAATAACAAAATAATATCGCATTCATGTGAATAATTCAAACTTTAAGGTCAAGCTAAAATTATATGAATTCGTTGACAATTAAATGGCCAAAAAAAAAGCCAAATAAATATTACAACAAAAGCATAAAACTATTAAAATATCATCAATAAAAATGGCATACAAAATAAATCAACATTTCTCAATAGAATTCGTTTTTATGCCAATTAAATAAGTCGAAAAATATATTAAACTAAACGAATTTCCAAAGAAATGACAAAGTTAATTAAATGAATAAAGCAAATATTAACAATCGATTATTATTATTATTGGCAAGTGCAGGCTGTCAGTTTAGCTAAATGTAGCTCTCAAGGTTTGGCCATGAATAAATCAATTAAATGCTCTATAAATGTAAACTGAAATGCCATTTGATAATCCCACAGTAGCTGCGATTAGTCCCGCCGCGCACGAAAGTAGGCTACAGTGAGTGCAATTAGGCAATAACCAGTTGAGGCTTATAATGGCCAGTTACGAGACAGAGAGAGAGAGAGAGAGAGAGAGAGCGAGAGAGAGAAGGTGGGTGGGGGAGGGGGGCAAGTCTACTGCTAATTATAGCAAACAGTGTCCATTACACGCCCATTATGTGCCGCGCCCCAAACCAGTGCTGACTAATGAACTATTTTGCTCGCGCTGCGCCCCAAACAAAGTTTATTGACTTAGCTCATCAAATAGAAATATAAATATTCAAATATTTGACCAAAAGCTGTTAATAACATATTTTTGTGGCAAAAAGAAAAAAATGAAAATTCGTATTCTAATTACGAGCAGCAAAAACAAATTACATAGTCCATAAATATTCATTGATTCATAAAAATAACACGCAGCCCACAATGAGTACTCGTTATTGGGTTAGAGGAAAAACAATTGAATGAAAACAGCCATTTATAATTGTTCAGACACGATGAGGGTGGAAATGTATTAGACTAAGTGATACCCTGTTAGAAGATGTAAAGCAAGGATAACAACATTTCTGTGTATACAATTCAATAAATTAACAAAGTCAGCGTTCAATAAGCTTATTTTAAATAATTGGGTTACTTTCGTTGTACTGGAAGATTGGAAGAAACTGATCGAAATATTCCAAATATTTATGTATCAATATATCGATGCAAAAGAAAAGAAGAAAAAGATTTGTCGAATAACGACAAGTCGAGATTAAAATTAGAAACTTAATTTGTTCAGAAATTTTGAATTTATATATATTTGTAATTTTTAAATAACGATAATAATTACATTTATTAATTTAATAAAAAAAAATATATTTTTATATAAAAATATAATATTTTAATATGAAATTTAATGACCGTAGATATGTTTAAATGTATTTAATAATTTAAGTATTCACTTTAATACTAAAGCTTAAATAAGTTTAAAATCAAAAATCAGTTTTTCCAAAAGCTGTTAACACAGTCGGAAGACTCTTCCTCCGAAAGAATCTTTGCAATTTTAAACGTATTTTTGTATTTCATCAGAAAATCAATTTGATTTCAATTATTATAATTAACATTCGGTTAAACAGAACCGAGAGACTGTGGCGCGTCTGTGGTACAATTCGTGCTAGTAAATAATTGCAATATATTCGAAATGCAGCTATAAAAAGCACAGCAAGTGGCTAAAAGTAATATAAAAATAAAATTATAGAGTGTGCGCTGAATGAAACGCGCATTTATTGGCTGCGGTCGAATTCATTTCAATTTTAAATTATGCGCGCAATTCTTGAATGCGGTTCCAATTTAGGCAAATGCGCACGAGAAATTTATGCAGCTGGTTTAACGAGTTTTAAAGTGGCATTGGGCGCCATAATTAATTCAAGTAAATACATTTACATACATTTCAACTGATATGTAACTATTTATCCCGATTGATTGATTGACTGACTGACTAATTGATTTTCAATGCACAGCTCAAGCCCTTACAGATATTACTCATTTTGAAGTATTTAAAAATATCAATGCGGATTTGGGTAATTTCACTCGCAAGCGTGAAAAATAAGTGGTTGTATGAAACTTTTAATACACACCTTATTCATAGAAAATGCGTAATCAGGGCATAACGATTTTGTGCAAATAAATGTAACAGACAGAAGGAAGCGTCATCCACCCCATAAGGTATATATATACTTGGTCAGCATCAATGTCCGAGTCGATCTAGCCGGGTCCATCTCTCTGTCCGTCCGTCTGTCTGTCTGTCTGTTCGTATGTCAATCTCGTCAATCTCAAAACCTATAAGAGTTACGAGTCTTGAAACCGTAAATGTAGGTCCTAGTGCTCGCGCAGTTGTTTCTGATTATCGATAACTTACCCCATTTCGAAGCAATCGATCAAAATCGATATCGAAATCCTGTTTTTTGAGCAAATCTCGTAGGTTTTAAGGGCTAGAGTCACCAAATTTGACATGTAGCTTCTAGAATAGTGTATACAGATCAAGTATCTTTCATTTTATAGCTACCACCCCAAAACTCTCCCCACCTCACCCACCTGTAGCGCGAGGTGCATTTGGTGTTGGTTGGAAGAAAGTACAGAGTATCCCCTGGTCGGGTACTTCCACCAGAGCACGCTTTCTTTTTTTCAGGCGTTAGTTACAACAATAATTTTTCATGGGATACAGCTTTTGCCAAATCCAGCCCTCTGGCTGGCAAATTGAGTTTTCGGCTAGAGCGCTTACATTTGAATTCCAATAAATTCATTATAATTTAATTTTATGTCATTAAAAGGTAAATTTGTAATTGTAAACAAAGTGAACTCACCTTCATAGAGCACCGCCAACTAGAAACTGCTGCGCCAATGATTCACAGATGATAATACCGCGTAAAATGCTGACTTACGCTTGGCCTGGCCACAAAACTGTTGCAATTGTTGATTAGCATGAAAAGGGCAATGGGAAGCAGGTACATTGGCTTTTCAATATATTCCCTTTGTTGAACGCTTTTCAATTAGACCCGAAAACAGAAATCAACTCAACCGAACTGATATTTCACTTCAAACTGCAATTAGGCATTTTTATTATGCGCTGATTACTTTTTATTGTTATGTTTAGTGTGTGTGTGGGTGTGTGTGTGTGTTCGGGTGTGTGTGTATGTGCGGGTGTGCTGTCTGTTGCATACAAAACAAACATTTGTTGAACAATGCACACATTTATGTTAATATTTGCCCTCGCACAACAACAGCAGACAACTGCATTTCGCTGGCCAAGGATAAATGCTATTCGACAGATTGCGCATACGCCGCGTATGCGTTTCCCATTGAAATCGCGCTAATGGCATTTCAATAACGCATCTGCAACCGCAGCTCTTTTGCACCAACATTTTGCGAATTTTAAATCAATCTCTGTGCGTGTGCGTGTGTGCGGTTGCGACGTGTTGAATAAAACATTTAGCAGCATCCATTGAATTATTCAAAATTCATCTGACACAAAACTTCAGAGAGCAGCACGGACATCAAGTGTGCAAATCGATTTTGCTGGCGACAGGCATTTTAGGGTCGACTTGTAATGAAAAAGTTCGTTCGTTTCACTCACTAACTTTTCCGGGTTTTCAACACATATTTTGCCATAAATAAAAAATAAATAAGAACTAAAGGCAGCAAAAGCGAAAGCCTTGCAACACATGTGGCAAATGGTTATTTGCACCACAAGCATTTTGAGTGTGGCGACTTTTCCCATAGAAATGTAAAATTGTGCGCTTCAGTATATTTTGGCTTGGAGCAAGACTCTAAAGTTTGGCAAAATTGACTCAAAGAACATAGTTTAGTTGCCGCAAAAAGCCTTTGAAATAGTTTTATGTCTACTTGTTAGTCTACTTAAGATTCGAGGCTGAATAAACTTTGCATTAGTGGGCCACTTAGGCAACACATTTAGCGAGATCTTCATGTCACGAAAATAATTTATTCTTACATTAATATTTAGCTAGTCTCTCAAACTCTTTCAGGCACCTGCCTTTCGTAGCTTGAACTTGTTGAGAATTACAAGCGTCAAGCAACGTAAGACGCAAAACAGTCTTAAAAGCGTTATTTTTAAGGGTAGAGCAACAACTATTTCTATCTATCTATAAAGTACAAGCTTTATTAACATAAAGCTTCCTTACGCAGACAACTCCTTTATCATATTTTTAGTAAGAACTTAATATTTCCTTAGGTTTTCGATGAAAGTATTATTCATATGACTCTATTTTATACTAGACGTCTTATTTGGAGTTCAGAATAAACTGGCAAGAATACATCTTGAAATATTGGACAGTTAATACAAAACGGAAAGGCTTCTAAAAATTTTGTTTTTATTTTTTCATTTATTTATTTATTTTCTTTATAATCACCTCTTTTAGGGTATTCCTTGCAAAACCTAGAACACGGAACCGTAGTTGTCCACCTCGAAGAGCTTTCACTGTATTGACAAAACTATCCAGCAAAAGTTATAAAGTAGCCCTGAATACGACCTTCGATTAAGATTCCGACCGAATCTGCAACCTTGTCGATTATTAGTCGGAATAACTGAGGGGCACTCAAAAAAACCTGATGCCACAAAAATATCCCACTTAAATGCAAATGGTATATATAAAAACTTTTTGATGTGCCACCTAAGCCTGTCAGAGAAATCTCAACAACAGATTTTTGTTTTTAATGCGAACTTAACATTATTTTATGACATTGAAAGTCGCTGTTGATGTGAACGACGTGTTTTCTTTTTTAAGCCTTTTTTGCAGGCAGAGAGAGCCAAGAGTGGCCAAGAGAGCGAAAGAGAGCGTTATGCACTTGTATTGGTTACCTGTTACATGCTATGCGACTGAGCTTGTAGACCGTTAGATCTCGCAGCTTGTGTAACGGTTGCTGGTTACAATGTTCGAATATCGCAACTGAAACCGTAAATTTCAAACATGCAAATTCGCTGGTTGACGAATAAAAAGCAAATGACATGAAAATTTGTGAGCTGGCAACATTAGGGACTAAAGCCGTAAGAAAAAGGCACCATTGAGAGGACATACACACAAACACACACACACACACACGCACAGTGGCAAATGTACATGTATCCTCGGAACAAGCACATAAAAATGTAATACTTTTGCTTGACGATGATGATGATATTTTCTGATATTTTCATTACATTGTTGTGCTTTTACGACTGTTATCCTTGAGTGAAGAACTTGCTACAGGATGCTAAAACCAACGCACACATACACACACATACAGTCATCGACAGTTACACGCACACGCACACACACGCATGTGCGAGGTGAGCGAGCTTTTTCACCTAATGTCTAAACCGTTAGTTTTTGAGAGACTGCCAGAGTGTGGGCAGAATTTTCACCTTCGCACTTTACCGTTTTTTTTTACGATTGAAATTTTGTATTATTTTTTGAATATTATAATTTTTTTTTTAATTTTGGTTTGAATCTTTTTGGAACTTTTTGCACTTGACACAAACGATCAGCACAGATTTAATTTTTTTATACAACTGCTTCGGTAAAATGTTGAGTTTTAGCAATTTATGAATAAATTTTTTAAATATTTACAAACGCGCCTTGAGAGCGTGTGCACAACACACGAGATGTTGTTCCGTCGCTCGTTGGGATTCAACTGAATGCTAACAAGTACACGACAGCCTAACCGCGCACAACTACATTTGCAGTAAGCATGCGAGCTTTTTTTACACGGACCTCCGACGCGTGGGTGGCCGCAAAGAGCGAAAGTTGCAAAGAGAAAAATCGTCACGTTGCAATGCAAGACAATAGAAACAACTTGATTTTCGGCTTTCACTGTTACTTGCGGCTTTTACTTAATGTATATTGTTAGCACTTTATAGATTTTTCCAATATTAAACACGAAATATTTATTGAGTTTTATATTTCTTTATACCGGTTTATTACTCACAAAAAAATACGGTAAATCTAGCGATGCATGTAGGTATCGATAGTGGAAAACTATCGAAATCAAAACAACATTTTCAGCCCTGGACACTGAGACGTTTGTCAGCCCTCGTCACCAACGAAAAACAAATCAATTGCATTTTTATAGAAAAAAGAATAAAAACAATGTCCGACGCATATGCATATGCTGCCAAAGGCAAACTAAAACTCAAAAGCGATACCGAACTGAAGAAAAAAAAGAAGAAACACAAGAACAAGGACAAGGAAAAGGAGAAGGATGCACTGCAGAGAGCGTTCGTCGAACAACAAATGACGGAAACTGTAACCGGACCTGCAGCAGCCTCGACCAGCGGCTACGAGCGGAAGCTAACCAAAGCGGAGCTGGCCACCAAGAAACAGCAGGAGAAGATGCGCAACAAACGCATTATGGACAAGGCGCAGACGACGCACAAACAGCGCGTAGAGAAATTCAATGAACATCTGGACACACTCACCGAGCACTTCGATATACCCAAGGTGTCCTGGACAAAGTAGAAGGCGTCGCATGTTCTTAATTGTAATTTAGCTGTAAAATATATAATCCATATATATATAAAACTGTTCCGTGACTGAGGCACTAATTTATGTTACTATTACCTTTTCTGATGCAAGTGCTGGGAAAGCACGAAGATCGGGAAAGTTCCATCATTGAAGGTCATCAAAGGATGCTCTATGGAGCTCAAATATCTATGAAAAATCTTGGAAATGGCGGTTACAGCTGTATTTTACCATATAGCTAAATCTTACCATTTCCACAAGCAAGATTATTAATAATGTAAAAGAAAAATACATTTCTCACGGGCAAAACCGTTTAAATCCCTGCTTTTAAAACTATATATGCATTAGGTTTAAACATTTCAAAGTGTTATATATATTAAGCATAATTTTGACTACATTATGGGATGAGGCCAATATAAATGGCAGCATTAAACTAATTACATTTATGGTAATAGTTACATAAATATACAAAAACAACTTAAATGAGGGTGTCTTAGATCTTTCCAACATTCAGTCCATGAAAGCAAAACAAGACTACTTGGCTAAGATATTGCTTCACTGTGGTGTCATCAGCTCGAGCATCGCATATTTCCAGGTCCAGGCGCGCACCAGCTGCTCGAAACGCGAACGCTCATGCTCATAGATATAGCCCAGCTCCGGCTCCATGCACACTTCAGTATAGGGATCAGTGAGCAGACTCTGCACTGACAACAAAACTTTAGCCACATTTAAGGCCAGCGACCAGTTCTGCTGCTGGAATATGTCAATGCCCACGTCGCCATGTCTGGATACATTCGGATGCAGTATTTTGGTTAGAAAACGCACCGTTGGCGGTGCCATGGGATAGCGTTCGGGAAAGTAGATAAATAGAAAGAATTTGCCGCCCTCATAGGGACTGCCAGGCGGTCCAAGTATCGTTGCCTGCCAATAATTATTCTGGCGATCCAATGGTATGGCCGAAATGCCCTCCGCTTCGTAGCTGTGCAATAGATTTGCTTCGCCGCGCAAGAAATTATTGCGTATCACGTTTCCCAGCTCGCCAGACGGCGGCGACTGGCTGCCCAGCTCAATCAAACAGGTGCGACAGAAACACGCTGACATCAAGGCACCATACAACTTATACCAGTCGGGCAGCTCGGTGAGGCATTCGAACAGCGGCCAGCGCTGTTTGATGTATTTCTTCCACATGCTCTGTGCCGTGTTCTTCACTATGATCTCGTGCCACTGCTTGCACACCTCGCTGGCCATCCACAGTGACATGTCGTCCAGGTAGGCGAATATCTTGAGCATAACCTCGACGGGTATGCGGCTGGTGATGCATTTGCTGATGCTGCTGCTGCCGCCGCTGCCGCCGCTGCTGCCCGCATCCGGCGCGTTGTATTCATGCGCACGGGCACGTCCATCGGCCAGCTCGAGCATGTAGTGCGGTAGCGCGTGCGGCGCCGTGGGCCGTGGCCTTTTGATGGGCAACAGAAATGGATTAACCGCACGTTCATGTTCGAAATCATGCTCTGGTGTGCCCCGGCGCGCTGGCATTGCTTGTGGTTCCAACAGCTGTTCTGGCGGCGCCGGTTGCTGTGCTGGTTGCAGATCCTGCAGTTCGTGCTCCGGTTCTTGGATTGCCGGCTGTTGTTGTTGTTGTTGCTGCTGCGGCTGCTGTTGTTGTTGCGGTTGTGGTGCGGGCGGTTCCGCGTCCTCTAGATCTTCAAAGCCCATTATGTCCGCATCATTCTCAGTTTCATCATCCTCCTGCTTGTCCTTGAAAGGCGGCTCGTCATTGCCCGAGTCCTCGTCGTCTGACAACTCCGTCAATAGCTCCTCGGCGCGTTGTGCGTTGTATAAAAATGCATGACAGGCGCCGCAAAGCGGCTCACCGAAATTGGGTCCGTAATAGCCATTGCATACCCAGCATGCGTTGCTGTTCTGCAGTGGGATACACACATCAATTGCATTATTAGACGAGGTTTTTCTTCATTTTTTTTTGTTTTTTGTATACACACCGAAAAGCAAAATGTTGGCTCAGTAAGCAATTGTTTATCTTTGTCCTCCTCCTCCTCGGCGATGTCGTCTGTGTCGTTCATTTCATCATCGCTGGCATTTAATTGCTCCAGCAACTGCTCCTGTTCCTTTTGCTGCTGCACGCAGCTAGTCATTTTCCTGGTGCACTGAAATTTCTTGTAACAAAAAATAACCCCAACCGATGCCTTTCTCGCAATGCAACGTTAGGATACTTGATGAGGCATCGATATAATATCGATAGCGATAACAGAAGTTTAGTTTGTGCAAATGGAGAAGATACTTTTTATTTACAAACTGATGGTGACGTCACAAGCTAAGAAAATTAATTGTGTGAAGTATTGCCTTGTGAAACTGTAGGGTTCATGTGACTTTAAATTCCTTTAGCTGTCAAATAATTGATTGCTTATTCCGTACGTTTTAATTACCACAATTACTGCATGGGCTGGAAATGTAATAAAACTGATACTGTATATATTGAATGGTTCTTAAAAGACCTACAATTTTTAAAAAAAATTGGTACATTAATATAGTTTTTAAATAAAATAATACTTGACTATGACTTTTAATATAATATTATGCATTATGATATTTTTCTCAATATGTGTCTTTCATTTTTCGAATGTAAAAAATCGTTACATATTTTACATATATTCCCAATCGCAAATTGGGATTGTGACGTAATGAAGCAACAGTCGAGAGTGATGTCACTTATCGATAGCTGAAGCAACAGTCGTGAGTGATGTCACTTATCGATAACTTCTCTATCTGTCAGCTGCAGCGCCACACGTGCGATATTTATAGAATTACGCCAGCAACAAAATGAAGCAGAAAAAGAAGCTGGGTTAGTTATAATTTGTAAATATGTATATTTTATTAAAGTTTATTTAACTTGCATGCGCTGCAGCTATCGGTCTCAGTCGCGAGGAGCGTCAGGTGCTTGTCATCGGTGAAATCATACAGGAACTACTAAAGGCACACGAAGACAAAAAAGATGTGAATCTGAATCGCATGAAATCCCTAATATCATCGAAATATGGACTGGATAGCTCCCCGAGACTTGTGGACATCATCGCAGCAGTGCCGCAGGATGCCAAGAAGATACTGCTGCCCAAGCTGCGTGCCAAGCCCATCCGAACCGCAAGCGGCGTAAGAAAAAAGCACAAAAAATATATATAAACCCCTGCAGAAGTTAAAATTATAAATATTTGTAGATTGCTGTAGTGGCTGTCATGTGCAAACCGCATCGCTGTCCGCACATCAATTTTACGGGCAACATTTGCGTCTATTGCCCCGGCGGACCGGACAGCGATTTCGAGTACTCCACACAATCGTATACGGGCTATGAGCCGACCTCAATGCGTGCCATACGAGCACGTTATGATCCATTCCTGCAGACACGCCACCGCGTCGAGCAGCTGAAGCAGCTGGGCCACTCGGTGGACAAAGTGGAGTTCATTGTGATGGGCGGCACATTTATGGCCCTGCCGGAGGAATATCGCGATTACTTTATACGCAATCTGCACGATGCACTCTCCGGGCACAGCAGCGCCAACGTGGCGGAAGCGGTGCGTTATTCCGAGAAATCCCGGACCAAATGTATTGGCATCACAATTGAGACACGACCGGATTATTGCCTGAAGCGTCACATCTCCGATATGCTGAACTATGGCTGCACACGTCTGGAAATCGGTGTGCAGTCCGTCTATGAGGATGTGGCCAGGGACACAAATCGTGGTCATACGGTGCGTGCCGTTTGCGAGACCTTTCACATGGGCAAAGACGCAGGCTACAAGATTGTCACACACATGATGCCTGATCTGCCCAACGTGGATTTTGAGCGCGACATTGAACAGTTCATCGAGTACTTTGAGAATCCCGCTTTTCGCTCGGATGGCCTCAAAATCTATCCC